ATCACTGGTGTTGAACCCATGACGGTCATCACTGGTGTTGAACCCATGACGGTCATCACTGGTGTTGAACCCATGACGGTCATCACTGGTGTTGAACCCATGACGGTCATCACTGGTGTTGAACCCATGACGGTCATCACTGGTGTTGAACCCATGACGGTCATCACTGGTGTTGAACCCATGACGGTCATCACTGGTGTTGAACCCATGACGGTCATCACAGGTGTTGAACCCATGACGGTCATCACTGGTGTTGAACCCATGACGGTCATCACGGTGTTGAACCCATGACGGTCATCACTGGTGTTGAACCAATGACGGTCATCACAGGTGTTGAACCCATGACGGTCATCACTGGTGTTGAACCCATGACGGTCATCACTGGTGTTGAACCCATGACGGTCATCACAGGTGTTGAACCCATGACGGTCATCACAGGTGTTGAACCCATGACGGTCATCACAGGTGTTGAACCCATGACGGTCATCACTGGTGTTGAACCCATGACGGTCATCACTGGTGTTGAACCCATGACGGTCATCACTGGTGTTGAACCCATGACGGTCATCATGGTGTTGAACCCATGACGGTCATCACTGGTGTTGAACCCATGACGGTCATCACAGGTGTTGAACCCATGACGGTCATCATGGTGTTGAACCCATGACGGTCATCACTGGTGTTGAACCCATGACGGTCATCACTGGTGTTGAACCCATGACGGTCATCACTGGTGTTGAACCCATGACGGTCATCACTGGTGTTGAACCCATGACGGTCATCACTGGTGTTGAACCCATGACGGTCATCACTGGTGTTGAACCCATGACGGTCATCACTGGTGTTGAACCCATGACGGTCATCACTGGTGTTGAACCCATGACGGTCATCACTGGTGTTGAACCCATGACGGTCATCACTGGTGTTGAACCCATGACGATCATCACTGGTGTTGAACCATGACGGTCATCACTGGTGTTGAACCCATGACGGTCATCACTGGTGTTGAACCCATGACGTCATCACTGGTGTTGAACCCATGACGATCATCACGGTGTTGAACCCATGACGGTCATCACAGGTGTTGAACCCATGACGGTCATCACAGGTGTTGAACCCATGACGGTCATCACTGGTGTTGAACCCATGACGGTCATCACTGGTGTTGAACCCATGACGGTCATCACTGGTGTTGAACCCATGACGGTCATCAGAGG